AACAGACACTTTGATTATCTAAAATTTATCATAAAAAGCATGTAATATTTAAGGATTTCTCATTTTTTTTAGTACCTCCATGTGGAAAAAACTGTGCATAAATATGTTTAAATGTCTCCTCATTCACTACTCCACTTGGACACTCCTGAGGGAAAAAAACATATTAACATTATATTATAAACATAGTATTGGCTTGAGGCCCCTTGTAGTAATCAAACTAGTGAAATAATTAATAAATATAATATAATATGATATAAATAATATAATAATTGTATTAAAACATATTTGTAATATTATAATAATGTGATTTTTTTCAATACATTTTTAATAATTATTCCACAAATCACCTGCAGTTATGTAACACGTACTCCTGAGAATGGTATAAAAAATATATATATATGTATGTATATGTGTGTATGTATGTTGGGCTTAAACGCTGCCATATAATACACAGTGGTTTTGGTAAAGCTTTTTTAACCAAACAAATATGAGCCGCTGTGTGGGTTGCTGAGCCTGACTGTTTATGTGTGTCTAATAGAGCGTATGAATGCTGGTATTGTGAAATATGACTGGCTGACTGTTGCTTGAGGCTAGCACACAGTGATTAGTGACATGCTGGATAATGCAAAGAGGAACAATAAGAGTTTACAGAGTTTGAAAGACAGATGAGACATGGCAAACAGAACCACGGGGACAGTATATGCAGATGAGATGCGATGATTCATAAGAAAATATATTAAGGCATAAGGATATATTACATAAACACTATAAGCTTCTTATCAGATTCCAAAATGTGTCAAAAGACATTTGTGTAAAGTAAATGTGCAGATGTGTGAGCGATGAGAAGGATGAGATAAGAAATACTGGGCAACGTACATTTTTGAAGCCTCTGTAAAGGACTTGTAGCTCTTGCTTGGTGAAGTTTGTCTGCGCCTCGAGCTGCTCGAGACCCTCCGGCCGATGGCAGACCATTGTCATCTCTAATTCATCATCTATATTATCTAGAGAGAAAGCAAGCCACATGTCAGTTTCAGGCTGATAAATGACCACTGCTTGCACAGAGGTTGCTCTTTCGCAAATATCAACTTTCTCTCAGATGCTCCTCCTTAAATTTCTTAAGAGAAATAAAAGTGAGACAAATAAGACAGTTGTTGACCGAGTAAGGCTAAGAATTGGATGAGAAATGATTGCATTCACATGAAAATCTCAGGCTTCATCTTTGCAAATCTGAGCAGTGTGTGAAAATATTGAAATGTCTTGAATCTAAGACACTTTTAGTCACTTCACCCAAAAATGAAAATTCTGTCATTAATTAGTCACGCTCATGTCGTTCCGAACCCATAAGACCTTTGTTCATCTTCAGAACACAAATTAAGGTATTTTTTAAGAAATACAAGAGCTTTCTGACCCTGCATGGACAGCAATGCAACTGAAATGTTCCCAGGCCCAGAAACGTAGTAAGGACATCATTAAAACAGTCCATGTGACATCAGTGGTTCAACCATAATTTTATGAAACTACAAGAATACTTTTTGTGCGCAAAGAAAATAAAAATAACGACTTCATAACGAATTCAACAATTTATTCTGTTCCGTGTCAGTCCTCGACGTGTGTCCACGAGAGTACCACAATACATGTGCACAAAAAGTATTCTTGTATAGCTTCGCAAAATGACAGTTGAACCACTCACATGGACTATTTTAACAATGTCCTGCATGGGCCTTAAACGTGTCAGTTTCCTTGCTGTCTATGCAGGGTCAGAAAGCTCATGGATTTAATTCAAGATATCTTAATTTATGTTCCGAAGATGAACGAAGGTCTTACGAGTTCGATGAATAATTAATGACAGAATTTTAATTTTTGGGTGAAGTAACCCTTTAACCCTTCTATTTTTATCTTTTCTATTTACACGTTACCCTTGGGTCAAATTATACATAGTCATGACATTGCTTTCCACTGCTACGCAGATAATACACAATTGTACATTACAATTGAAATTAAGGGTCTGTAATTTTAATGGTAGGTTTATTTTAACGTATAGAGACAGAATACCAACCAAAAAATCCAGAACAAACACATTATATAAAGGTTAGAAATTGATTTGCATTTCAGTGAGTGAAATAAGTATTTGATCTTCAAGCAAAACATGACTTAGGGGGGCTTAATCTTAGCACTCATCATACCCGGTTAAAAAAGTCACCGCTCACCACTGCTTTGTAGTATCACCATTCTACCACTAGATTCTCTGCGTAAGCATGCTCAGAGTTGTGCTCATATTTACACACATTCCTACGTATAAGTACCTGTACAAATTTGTAGATCTCACACTTTGCGTGAACCTGTTCTTACGCACTCATTACGCAGACATCTGTGCATACGCACTGTTGATAAATGAGGGCCCAGGTGACTAAAGTGGTGCAGTCTTGCTTTACACTGACGCAACTAACAAAGATTAAGTAATTTCTTTCTTTTGCTCATTTAGAAAAGGGCATTCATGCTTTTATCTCCTCCAGATTTGACTACTGTAAAGCACTTTATTCTGGTATCAGCAGGTGAAACATTCAAAGACTTCAGCTCATTCAAAACACTGCTGCCAGGCTTTTAACACGCACTAAGAGAAGTGAATACTGATCCTTCCTGCCCTTCACTGGTTACCTGAGTTGATTTTAAGATTTTACTGCTTGTTTTTAAAACCTTGGGTCAGGCTCCTGTCTATATTTGTGATTTGTTAACTCCCTATGAGCCTGATCGCTGCTTGAGATTCTCTGATAGGGCCATACTAATGGTTCTGAAATCTCGACTTGTCACTAAAGGTGATGTGCTTTTGCTGTCTGTGCTCCTCAGCTGTGGAAATCCCTGCCTGGGGATCTCAGACAGGCAAGCACATTATCCTCCTTTAAATCTCTTCTTAAGACTCACTTTTATCATAAGGCTTTTTCTTAAAGGG